CCCCAAAACCCCAAAACCCCAAAACCCCACTGATGAACATTTAGAACTAACATTGAAAACTATTTATATTAAATTAAAACTAGAAAATTGTATTTTAATATCTTAAACTTATCCCTATCCAAATACATCGTCTCATCTCTGACCAGCACCAGTAGGTCTTTTTTTCTTTGGGTCAACTTTTCCACTATTGAATTGCTAATAGTTAACTCCTACATTGTTGCTATTATTGCTCAATTTACTTGCTCTTTGAGCCGTACTAGCCTAGGCATTACTTTGTCCTTATGCTTTTTTAATCTATTAATCAAGTTAAGAAGCTCTGTTATAGTTTTGTTTAAAAATTGCTGCATCTAGATTTTTCTTCATATAATCTTTATCCTAACCATGCATAATGATTCTATTTTAAGCCTGACCTATCACTTATGGTTGCTGCTGAGAATTTTAAGATTAGCCAAAAAATTAGTTTTATTAAGGATATTAAGTGATATTCTAATTTTGATATGGTTGATTTTAAACACCCTGATACATTTAAACTGTCGCATCTATATTAGGTTAAAAATATGATTGATATACCGTTTGGGTTGTTAGGACTATGCATAGGATTGCCAAATTAACTTCCGAGATCTATTTAATAAATTTAAGAAACTTCTTATACTTACTAACTCTATATGAATTATTTGCTTAGTTTTGATTGAATGTATGTTAAATATTTCCACTTGCACTTGGTTGCATCTTTTAATTACTGTATTTATCATCTGATTTCATCGGAGAAGCTGAACTTTTTTAGGAATATCCATCTTTTTTTACTGGTGAACCATCCTCAGTAACTGAATCTCTCCAATATATTCCATCACCTTAAGGTTTTCCTGATCCGCAGAATACAGGGAAAGGCCATAGCCAAGGGTTGATACCGAAAACTTAATAAAGATTATTAGCTTCTCCTAAATCAAATGGACTGTTAAATACTTTTCCTTTTTTCTCAAGATTTTCAATCGTAGTTTTATTTGATCTTGCCAAATATATGTGAAATTTGAGGAAAAATGTCATTAGAACTGCAATCATGCAATTTAAGATATAGCTAAATTAAATCACAAGGTTTTTAAATAAAACTTATTGCTCTCTAACAGTTCTACTAAAGTAGTAAGCATCAACTTCCCATTTAATGCTCATCAAAAAATCATAGCCCATTGTTACTGCAACGAAATAAGTTGTTAAGAGTACATATATCAATAGTAGAAGGAAGAATTTTCTGTTCCAAAACCCAACACAATTATTAATCCAAGGGCAGTGATGATCCATATTGAGAACGCATCTATTGCATGCAGAGCAATGATGGCATCGCTCTGGCTTGAATACATTGCACATTAAGCAATATCTCCTTCTTTTATTTTCTCCGTCCCCTAAATGAAACCCCCAAAATACTGGAACTTGCCCTGGATCTGTGGTCATAGTTTAAATGAATGACCAAGCCAGCATAAAAAAGAGTAGGTGAAAAAATGTAAGCAATATCGATGCATAGAAATTATCTACAATCATATATTTTTTTCTAAAACAAACTTACTAACTAATCTTGGACCCCATATGAGAACAACATAGGTGTAGTAAATTAGAGAAATGACAAGGATAACAAAGAGTACGAATAAGTTGCCAAGCAGTTTGGCAGGGCGCATGGGAAGTCTTCTAGGCATAGTTGTGATTTAATATTTAAATCGATTATAATAATTGAATTTATTATAATAACGAATTAATTAATTATCTATTCAATAAATATCAGCAAGAAACCGATTCTCTCACAGCAGCAACTTTCGAAGCTCACTATGATGAACTCATTTCCCACCTTTCTATTTACTCTGTTCTATTCTCTTTTTCTTTTCTTTTAATTTGTTTGCAACTTCTTTCTTCTTTTGAATACTTTTATCAGCTTGATCGTATAGTCTTCTCTGTTTCTTGGTCATTAGGATTTTACCTAGTTCCTCTTGTTCCTTCTAGAGCTCTTTCTTTATTTTTTAGTTCTTTTGCTTCTTTTATTTCAAGTCCTCTTCTTCAGAGTCCTCATCACTACTAGAGTCAGCATCTCCCTTCTATTTCAAATTCACTGGTTTCTTTAGTTCCTCTACCTTATCATTCTTAGTAGCTTTGTTATCTTTCTGAGATTTGGCAACTTATTTTGCTGGTTAGATGTCCTCCTCTGACTCTTCATTTTTGTTGTCAACTTCACTCATACTTTCCTCCTCTTCATTTGGTTCTTCGACAACTTCTCCCTTTAAGGCATTTATTTCCTTCTGTCTTGTTGGGATATATCCTTCCTTCAAATCATCAACGAAAGGTGAGAGATGAGGTGGCAAAGTTTGACCTGGCTTATATGGCTGTGTAGGAAGCAAATGCAAATTATTCAGAGAATCGACTATCCATTATGGTTATACATACTCTTTGTTTGTTTACAATTTTCCTTGAAGTGGCCTATCCATGACGTGATGAGTAACTTTATTATTCTACAAGAAATCTTCATCTTCTTCGGTGGCAAAAGCTCCTCCGAATGATAATATTAAATACTGCAAACTGTAAATAGGTGCTTCTCTGTTAAGTAAGAATACACATTTTTAGAACAGATTTCTCTATCTCTTTTGATGCTCTTCTTTTTTTGTCAATTTCTTCATCTCTGGTGTATCTTTGAACTCTTCTGATATCTAGAATTTGTCCTAACCTGCTTGACCTTGCTCAAACTTCTTACGAGCCTGCTTTTACAGTGACTGCACTAAAGCGACATCTAAATATATTTTATTCTCATCATTTAAGTTATGTTCTAGAGGATGCTTAAAGCCAAGATCTATGTATAGTTTATGGTTCACAAATCTAACTAAAGCTAAGTAAAACTCTAGGAAGGTGCTCATAACTTTATAGTCAATATCAAATGGCAGTCTCTGATTGAATTGATAAGGTGCAATCCATGTGATATTTTAGCCCATAATTTCGACCTAATAGTATATTCCCTTTATTGAATAGAATGCCTTTTTAAAGCATTAAGTGACGGTACAATAGAACATAAACTCTTTAATTAGATTGGTACAAGCCTCAGTCTCCTTCTTTGTGATCTCTAATGTATGATGTTGCGGTAAATTAGCAAAAAGACTGATAAGACATAGTGCATCATCGAGATCTCTAAGAGCATCAATAAAAGTTGGGTATCTCTCCTTAATAATATGACTCAGTGAGTACTTAGGTGCTTTCTTCAAATGATCCTCTGCAAGCTTATTCTCCTTACGATTCATAAGTTTCTTATACTTCTTTGCATGAGCCTTTAGCTCTCTAAACTTATTGAGCAGTTTGTCATGCATCAAAATTTTAATGTCTTTCACATGATAATAAGTTTTATTGGTACCCTCGAACTTCTTCTTTGGCTCTCTGGGATATACTCCCTTCAAAATGCACAGTCTTCTAAAGTCTTTCAAAGATAGCTAAAGTTTTCTGATAGCCTTAGATCTGGTTAAATACTGAGATTTCTCTCCCTTCTTTCCTTTTTGTATTTTCTTTCCCATGATAAGTTGTATTAAATAATAGAATTAATAACTTAGTATTGGAGTGTTAATTAAAAGAAAATAATTAAATGTGTAGATGCAGTAAAAGTATTAACGGATAAAAAGGGTAGCCCACTGGCGGAATCGAACCACCGACCTTTCGCTTACTAAGCGAGCGCTCTGCCATCTGAGCTAAGCGGGCTTTGTTATCTTCTCTATTTAGGTTTTCCTTCATAAATCTCAAATTCATTTTCATTCATTTTAACCATTTCTAATCCACTTTACTTTTTCATTTTTTTCTTATGGGGTTTTGGGGTTTTGGGGTTTTGGGGTTTTGGGGTTTGGGG